CCGGCTCGGTGTGATCCTCATTTTCGTGGGCGGGGGCGGGGGCCCTCCGGGGGCCCTCCCTCCTGCATCCTCCTTGGGAGAGGTTTAACCGTGTGAGGACTGGAGAGCTCCTCAGCCGGGTAGGCGGGCGGGCGGCCGCGCCACGCCTCGGGTCAGTCACGGCGCTTGAGGAAAATCCTCCACGGTGGGGCTGGTGGGGCTGGTGGTGCTGGGAAGGGGCGCTTCTGCCACCGCCTCTGTCCGCGTCCAGGCAGTGGACCCGCATTCCGTCCTAACGCGTAACGTCCCCGACACGAGTGAGACCTGCCCTTGGTTAGAAAGAAGAGGTTTGTTTTATCCTAGTTTCTGTGGCACTGGCCCCTGAACAGTTAGTTGGTGACTGTTCCAGGTTTTCTAGGGTCTTTCATCAGCCCCATTTTTCAGCTGGGCGTTGAGGATCTGCTGACTTGTAAAAATACCAGGAAGAAGGCTCTCATTGAAAATTCCTCCACATTCACACTGGGGAAAATACAAATGGGCATGGATTAGGGACCCGCTGTAATTGGAATATATCATCAGCAGTTCACTAGCATGGTTCGCTTGATTTTGTTGGCTTGTTGCTCTCCTCGCCTGTGGTGGAGAACACGCGTTTATTTTCTTTTGAAACTTCCTGTGACACCTTGTGCTTTGCCTTGCCCTTGAAATACACTGCATAGATGTTAACTTGCTGATAATCGATTGGGAGGAAATGGGCACTTTCCTCTCAACCCAGCGAACTGGGTGTTATTTACAGTATATCCATTTTGGAAATGAAGTAGTGACACAAGGGGTTAATTAAATTGCTCAAGATGCACACAGTAAGTGGTGACAATTGGACCCCAGAACTGACTCATTGCAGAGCCCATGCTCTTCCCAATATGCCTCACTGCCCCCCAGGAAAAAAATTAAATGGACAATAATTATCAATCATTTGATGCGCAGTTACTATGTACCAGGCACAATGCTAAGTGCTTTTCATATGTTATCTTAACCCTCATAACCATGCCATGAGATACGTACCATTTTTATCCCTATTTTACAGATAAGGAAATTGATTATTCCAAGATTATGCAGCTAGAAAGTAAGCCCAGTCTCAAATCCAGGACTTCTTGCTATAGGCAGAGATTTTAAATAAATAACTGGAGAAAACTTAAAAGACATTCAGAGATAAGTAACAACAAAAGTGTTGTGGTTTATGGAATTCAGTGTTCTGAGATTGCATTTGAATGGTTAAAAGTATTAGGTAAATTATGGTTACTCGCAGGAGGTTTCCTGAAGTAAGTAGGTTTCGAGCTAGTGTAGTGTTTGTTTTGTTTTTGTTTTAGAATCTGTTTTAATAAGATGATATTATATGTGGTGATAATAATATGATCCCTGACATAATGGGACTAGCAGACCAGTTAAAGAAACAAGCCATTGAATTCATTTTGAAAATGGCATACAGAAACCCTTCTTCCACTTTCCTTTTGTTGCCCCCTTAGCAAAACACACTCCTTTCCCATAATATACCATAGTATTCAACTGGTTAAGCTAAAAATCACCCCCAGTTTTCACAAACAACATTTAATCATGGCCGAGTTAGTAATCGGGAGACTCCTGAGTTATCTTGTCAGAGTCAACCCCCAAAGATAAGCATAAGTAATAATTTAATTCTAAGAATCAATACCACAGTTCCAGGCACTCTAGGGCTGTATGATACTCAAAGCCAGTTTTTCAAGTCCAAAATCTGGTTTTACTTACATTATAGCTTCTTGTTGAAGAGGACAAAGGCTTGGCTTTATGGAAACTAACATGCAAATTAAAAGTGAAGACATTCTTCCAAAAATCTGCAGAGACCAAAAAACCCTCTAGATATTTCTAAACATCCAGATGTCATCAAGATATTTTGCATCTGTATGTAATAGAAAGATCCAGAAAATCTTGGGAACCTATTAGACTGGCTAGATCTCAGTTTGCACATATGTAAATAAAGATGTGTCTGATGGTCTCAACTAGCCTTTCCAGCTCTAATATTCTATGCCTATGGTGAAATATGGTCTTACTCCATTAAGTCATATGCATAATTGAAGCTAGAAATCATGTATGGGAATAGATTTGAGACCGATTTCTATTGTTTTTAATCACAAGAAATAAAAATTGTCCTCCATGTTTTCCCAATTGAATTTTTTTTTTTTTTAGCTGAGCCATCCTGCCAGCTGTTGGCAGCTCAGCGGCAGCTCAGCCGAGACTCGAACCGCTGTTGCCAGAGCTCACACTCTTGAGCGAGCTCTTAACCAATTGAGCCACTCGGCTGGCCTCCCAACTGAATTTTTTAATCAAAATCTATCTTTGCTATTCTCAATAGACAATATTAATGATACTTGTAAATGCATATTATTTACCAGGAATGATACCAAATTCTTTACTTCTCTATAGATAGATGATAGATAGATAGATAGATAGATAATAGATAGACAGATAGATGATATAGACAGATATAGATTAGATATAGATATAGATATCTATATATGATCATTTTATACACACATGTGCACACACCAGTCAGGATTAAATGAGACCCAGTGAAGAACCTAGTATTATTCCTGGTACATAACATAATATGCATTATATTTATATTGGGTTGTTGGAAAAGGCATGATGCATTTTTGCAACAAAAAACATAGAAAAAATATGTCATGACTTTTGCAACAACCCAATATATACATAATGCATACTATATATACATATACATATATATTATATATATGTGTATATATATGTATATATTAGGTAGATATAATTCCTGCAGAGTCCCTGAATCCCTTCTTCTAAATCCTCATATACACAGATCTAATCGTGTGTACTTTTTGGCAAGTTGAGAATTATTACTCCAATATACATATATAGCAAGTCACTCATCTTGGGGTTGATTAATAAAAGAAGGGACTAGGGGTTGAGACTAGAAAAGGGAGGTAAAGCAAAAGACAAAGCAACTATTGAAGTGTTTGCACACATGCAAAAAAAGCCTTTGGAAACAAATTGCAGGAACATGAATCCAGATCAATCTCAGAACTACATACCAAGGTCTGTGTGCAGTGAGGAAGAAGAAAAGATGATGTCTCATAGCATCAAATTATCAAGTGAGCTAAGAAAGGATAACCCTGTGATTCAGGGAATGGGTTTGGAAAATATCTACCTTCTCCGCCTCCAGCTCTGCAGATACTCTGCATAACTGGGACTATAATAGGCTGTGGGATAGAAGTCAACAGCTTCAGGTTACAGAATATGAAGATACTGGACATATAAATAGAAGACCAAGTTCTTGCTTCCTGCATTCCACTTAAGTTTGTCTCCTATTCCTATGTGGCTCAAACTCTGCTCCTCATCATCTTCCTGAGGAAACCCAGACACCAAGCATATCATGATGTTTGCATTCTTTCTGAATTCATGATCATGAGTGTTAAAGTCAATGGAATGTCAATCACCCATCTTCTCAAGGTTCTAACCAACTGAGAATAGACACAAAGAACCAAATGAGCATCTCATTAGGGTCCATCCTTATTACTGAATCAGGTAAGTATCTAATACCCCACAAAGTGCAGGGATCCCTACTAGAACTAGAAGGAAAATGAAACTAGTCCCTACCTCTCTGTAAATGTGCAACCCTGAGACCTATCTGTGGAGAAAGTTAGATCTGCAAATAGGACTTCATATCCCAGCCAGACAAAAGCCTGTCTCACAAATGGGGTCAGAGGATTAGAGAGAATAATAGTTTTCCAGGACTGCCTTTGAAAAACATGTTGAGACAGGTCCTGATCCAAATATGCAAACCATCTTGAGGTAAGAAGCAGAAAAAAGCCCACGTCCCTTCTAACGATTCATGAGACAGGCACATCAAGACAGAAAGAGCCAGAGTTGAACCTATATCCTGTTTTGAAAGCAAGGTAACCCAACTCACATGGCATCTGCCAGGAGGGAAATTTAGAAACACTGCATTAGGTATTCCAGTCTTGGATAATCAGTAAGCTAGACATTTGGTTCTGACCCTTGCAGAAGTTTTCAATGAATTGAACTGTAATGCAATGGCTTTTATCAGCAGTCGTGACATATGTTATCATAAGGGATGTAGGCATTTTCTTGGAAATTTTGCCCACTACTTTATTTAGTGAATTCTATATTGAACCCCACATTTACAAAGTAATAAAACTATACAGGAAAATTTCACTACCTCTAAGGAATTAATTTT